TCCTTTCCTTTCCTTTCCTTTCCTTTCCTTTCCTTTCCTTTCCTTTCCTTTCCTTTCCTTTCCTTTCCTTTCCTTTCCTTTCCTTTCCTTTCCTTTTCCTTTCTCTTGCTTTCCCTCCCTCCTTCCCTCTTCCTTCCTTTCTTTTTTTAAAATCATCCTTATTCCTCTAAGTAATTCCTCATCAGTATTTCTGCTAGTAACCCCAGTAAAAATTCATATTAGTTGGACTTTGTTCTGTCATAGGTTCCCTTTCTGGAATGTATAGGTGTGTGTGTGTGTGTGTGTGTGTGTGTGGTGTCTCTCTGGAAAAAGGCTGTCATACAACAAGAGGCTGTCTGTCTTTGTTCCTAGCTCCACTGTGATATTTAAGTACATGGAGTGCACGTGTTCTCTCACCTGTCTCTGAGAAAGTATTTACTTCACTATTTTTATCGACCAGCAAAAGTTCAGAGGGAAGGTTTAAACCCTTGAGGGAAGATGATCTTTTCTGAGCTGGGCAATAACAGATCATCAGTTTCATTGTAACCCCGACCCCTTTTATTAGTAATAGGATCCCTTGTCTTTTGACATAAGAGACATCACTGATTCACTGCCAACTAAATTAGATGCAAGTGATTTTATTAAAAAGAAACTTAATGTACAGTGATGTAGTCAAATGTTATCTCTACATTGTTCTTAAATTTCATTTCTCATAAGAAATTAATAAGATATTTACTAGATAAAGAGCCATTTAACTTGATAAACATTTATTCAACACCTATTTTGATAAGTGCTAAAATATATGAGAAACCCAGAGTTCTGCCACATAAATTGACGCTGTATAATTATATAGTGCAGACAGGGCTGTGTGCAATGTAGTGATACTACATACCTATAATAGTAATTGTTTGAAAGAGAGATTTTGAGAGGAATTGGATCATTAAACATAACATGGGAATGTGTATTTCATATGCAAATGGGGGGATCAAAAGTGACAAGTAAACTTGAGGTCATCGAGGTACCTTGTAGGGGCCCTTGATTGTGCTTGGCACCCTTAAATCTTTGGGAAATAAAGACAGGAAAACCCCATTTTAAAATGGAACTTCAAAGCAATTGAAGACTTGAAAAACAGGCTTTGGATTACATTCTCAATTAAGCTAAAAAAATACCCCTGAAGGGACAGAAGTTATGAGTGCTTAGATTTCTTACTTGGACTGAGTAGAGTTGGAAGATAACAGAAAAATCTTATCCCTCTCTGGAACACACTTAAATAAGTGGAGAAATTCTGCACCTGAAAGAGCCATCTCCTCGGGTCTCCAGCCATCTGTGCAGAAGCGGGGGAGTGCCAAGTCTGGCAGGCTGCAGGCATGGACAGGTGTCTCAGCCACCTGGCCCCTCTGGGGAAAACAGGACTCAGCGCTGCATCCGTGAGTTTGTTAAACACAGAACATTATCTGCAAATGGACCTGAGGATCTGAGGCGTTCTGGCCGACAAGTAGAGGGGCCTGGCGGATCAGAGGCTGTTACAGGGCCAATTCTCTCCACCCACCCAGTGTTCCATTCAATTCTAGGGGGCAGTGCCAGAGACTCTGTTTGCAAATGTGATTCCTTGAAGATCATGTTTAATAATGGGGTAGTTTAGACGTGGAGATTTATTACAGGACTTTTTATATTATATGCCAAGTTTGATTGATGAATATTTATCCCTTAGGCTCACACTGGCAATGGTGGTGTTTAATATTCATATGGCTAGGTGGGAGGGATAAGGAATGACCCGCATGTCCTCTTGGACGTTCAGAGGGCTGTGCTGGGATCCTTTCCCCCAAGAGATTCTGAGTCGAGAGGAGAACTGATTGTGAGGAGTTCTGTTGACATCTGCTTGGTAACAAGATGCTAGGATTAGCTCTGTCAAATGGCACAGGCA